AGAATCATAAATGCAGCCTGTATACATTCTGGAAACGTGGAGAAACTTCTAAAGGAGATTTTGGGGGGTGAGGGTTGTAGAGGAGAAAGGAAAATATTTACTCATGTGATGCTGGATTTCAAGTTGTGTTACAAAATAGGTTTGGGGGCACCCTTTTTAGCAAGTCCAAGGCTACTCATTAGAACACAGTAGTGCTAGTGGGGGGTCAGAAAGGACCAGAAACTTCACTGAGAATAGTAATTACAGTGAGTTGGGGTTCAGCAAATGGATTTAAGTAACTAACAGGTTGTGGGATCTGCCAGGCCCATATGAAACCTTGCTTTAAAAGCATGTGGACCTTCTTACAATTTTGAGGATTTTAAAGGGCAGAATTTGAATGAACACTGTGATGGAATAAGGAGAATATGAAGTGCCAGCAGTTTCTTTAGAACTGCAATCTAGTTGTCAATGTGGCTGGATTGCACAACTGTAGTTTTTTGGGTCGGCTTTGGGATTTTTTTTGTGTGTGTATAGTCAGTCACACTAACATATGTGAGATTCCTTTGGTCCTCATGAGGCTGGAGTCTGAAGCGTCTGCTTATGATTAATCCAAGCTGTGAGTAATGCCACATGTGAGGAACTGGAGAGTCACGAGCAGCACAGACTCACAGCTGGAGCCAAGCGTGCAAGCAGCAGCTTGGAAAGAACATTTGAAACAGGTCTGCAGATGTATCCAACTGACAGGGGACAAAATCCTGCACTATCTCTAATGGAGAGTACATCTGTATGTTGCAAGGAGCAAGACACTAAAAACCAACAACATAAGAAAATACCAACTCATTCAAGAATTGAGAGTGTTCCTATAGGGAAATTCCTCAGACATTCTCAAGATCCTTTCTAACTCATCCTATGCTCAGGGAAAGGAGGAGGAGAGTGTTTCCCCATAAAGTTCAGTATGTCATTAGTGCTTTATAATATATTGTCAAGAATACTTTCTGTCCAACATTCTTATTGTAAATTAAGAACATGAAGCTAGGGTAAACGGTGCAGCTTTTATTAAAAAGAAATTGAATAGACATCTTGTAACCAAAATTCACTTTCAATTTATTTCTTCAGTTTTTTAAAAATCCTACCTTTATTATATAAATAAGTCAAGGCAGTGAATACTTTGTGACATACCAGCCTTGGCAAACAAGACAACTTTGTTTGGCTACATGCCTTCAAATGGTCAGGACTAGTTGCTGTTTAATCAAAATGAAGAGGCCAGGTTAGGAAAAGTTAGTTTGGAGGAATAAAAACGTGAGTCCCACTTTCTCCTTTTATAAATTGGTTTAATTCCTCCAAACAAATGGACAATTTCTTTAAACTGAAACAAAAAACAATGGCAAGACAAATACAAATTAGGTTTGCCAGTTACTCTGACCTACTGAAGCAAATGAGAAATTTGTGAATAATAAAAAGAGGTATGAGTGCTCTTCTCATGGATGGGTGCCTAGTACTAAAAGAATTATTTTCAGCACCAGCTTAAAATGATTCATTGACTATTTTTTAACATTTCTTTTTTAATAACTTTTGTACTGCTGACTTTCAAGATTTATGATTAGATTTTATTGGGTTGTTGCTCGTTTGCTGTATAATGGCCAAAGAAGCATCTTGAAATAAATGTTACTGAAAATAAGAATATTGTAGTCTTGCTTCAATTACTTCTCTAAAATATGTTTAGGGTACTCTGAATGTGATTTAAAAAGTAGCTCAGCACTCCAAAAAAATATTACAGTTCTCCACTTCCACCCAGAAGTATTCAAGGGGGTGATTAAAAACAGTCAAATGGCAGCCATGATAGCTCTATGCAACTGAAGCTCTATCCCTTTTTCACAAACATAGTGCATATAAGACATGTTAAAAAGAGGGAGCATTTTGGCCCCTCCATCTCTCCACTCTATTAGATGAAAATAATTGGAAGTCATTAATCTTTCTGAAGTTGAATTCAGTTTTAAATTGCAAGACCTTACCATATGTGGAAATACAGGCACCCTTTTTTTCTCTGGTGGGGGCTGCATTTGATCAAGAGATAATTTGCTTGGAGTGGCATGAGAGGTGGAACCAAAGTAATTGATAGCAAGATACCTTCTCTTTCCAAGCACCAGAGAAGAGACATTTCATTCTCACCCAAATAACACCGGCATAGGTGCAGAAAAGAAGAAGCCTTAGTGCCTAAGGATTTGCAGGCTTATCTTCTCCAGCCACAGCTGGTGATTCTCACATCCAGGTTCGTGCCATAGGCTTTTATGGGCCAGCCTCCCTCCAGAAGCTAAGCTAATTCCCTGTCCCATTCTACTTAATTTTCTCGATCTTAGTTCAAACAAAGCTCTTGAGACGAACATTTAAAAATAAGTTACTTTTTTCTCTGTGTTTATTCCTATTTTTTACCATGAATGTTTTAATGTATATCCTTTTTAAGTGTCTTCTAAAGAACAACTATCAGGAGACTTTGCAAATTACAAAGAAGATTTGGAGATTTATTTTGTGGCATACAAAATACATACATTCTCATTTATTATTTTGTTAAACCAACATAGATAACTGCTCTACTGGAAAGAACTCTAAGCAGTGAACAGAATAAAAACACAGTACACAAAAAAAAGACAATTTAAAACACTAAACAACACTGAGGCCCCAATAAACTTGTATTCTTCCCTTTTTATCTCGGCTCCATCAACATCCTGGCCCCAAGCCTAGGGGAAAAGTCAGGTCTTCACATTTTCCCCAAAATCAACAGGATTGAGGCCATCCATAATCTCTAGATGACCCTCCTTGCACAAAGGCAGAGGTAGCGGTCCTGATGCTGGGTTGTTGCCCTCCTACGGCCTCCTCTACGTCTTGATTGATTTGGAGTTATATTGTGTTGTTTAAGTGTTCCCTTTATTTTTTTGAGCAGTGTATTTCAGTCCTATCATCTAATTTGGCTATTATCAAGATATATACTATCACAAAGAATTATCTTAACAGTTAGTGGTTCCCTACAAATTGAAGAATTTTATCTTAGAAGCACTTTGTTCAATTAAGGCTCTTAGTGCTCTTTTATTCAACTGGCAAGAATAATGTGTTAGTGGCAAAAGATGTTGAGACTCTAGAAAGAGTGCACAGAAGAGCAACAAAGATGATTAGGGAACTGGAGGCTAAAGTATATAAAGAATGGTTGCTGGAATTAGGTATGTCTAGTTTAATGAAAAGAAGGACTTTTGCCACAAAGAAGGGGGAGTCAAGCTATTTTTCCAAAGCATCTGAAGGTAGGACAAGAAGCAATGGAGCAACTAATCAAGGAGGGAAGCAACTTAGAACTAAGGAGAAATTCCCTGACATTTGGAACAATTGGTCTAATGATGAAGGGACCAGGCTAGAAACCGAGACCATGAGTTCAAATCCTACTTTAAGCATAAAAGCCAGCTGGATGACGATTTTGGGACAGTCACTCTTTCTCAGCCCAACTTACCTAATAGAGTTGTTGGTGTGGGGAAAATAGGAGAAGTAAGGAATACTAGATATGTTTGTCACTTTGAATTGTTTATATAAAGGTGGGAAATAAATTATAAAAATAAAAAATAAAATGATGATGAGCTTTTCTTATGAAAACTGGTGTTTAATGAAGAATTGGAATGAATTATCTTTCCATAATTAGACAGGACTTCTGAGAAAAATATTAAAAATACTCAAATTACTAAAAGTTTTGATTTGAGTTAAGGTTTGTATATGGAGACTGAAAAAAGTAAACTCAGGAGAATAAATATACCAGCAATATCTACAATGAAGTAATGGCTGGTGAACTTGCTGAGATACCCCAACTGATTTCTTTGATGTAAGACAATAACTATGTTTACAGCTGACTGGAAACTCCTGGTGCACTTTTTGCATAAAACAGGAAAAAAACGAACTTATGATTTGTTTTGATGATTAGGCATGATAGATCATAGAAAGAAGTCATGATACAACTTTAGAAAAAGAGATAAATTTATAATTATACCTGTAACTTCTGTAAAGAAGATTTGAAACCACTTTTTGTATCTTTTTTTTCTTTTTCTTTCTTTCTTGCACTTTTAACTCTCTTCAATTTCTTTTTCTTTACTTTATATTAGTTTGTTATTAGTTTTTAACCTCTGTTTTTAAAACTTTCAGTTGCATGATATACTACATGAAAGCTATAGTCTTTCTATGCAATGTAAAAGAATAAAAAATATGGAGCATGCACACATGCGACTTAATTGGGATTCAGACAAATGGCAACTGTGGTTTCACAAATTGTCTTTTAGAGTTGGTTTAACTGTGTTATAATGGTAAGCAAAGAGGGATGTTTTCCACATCAAAAATACTGCAACTAAGTTCTTGTACTGCCATCAGATGATCAACTCCCTGGGGTGAAGAAGTGCATCTCAGCACCGTTTAAAGCAGGGCTGTCAAACTCCCAGCCCGCGGGCCAGTTGCATCACGTGCTGGCCACACCCATGCCCGGTTTAGCAAAGGGGGAAAAAAATTCCGATACGTCATGTGACATTGCCATGACGACGTGAGTGTGACACCCCTGGTTTAAAGTATTGCCAGTTGCTCTGCCTTGCACTTTCTTCTTATGCAAGCACTTCCACCTAAGATTCAACTTTAAGGGATCTTTAGTTTTGTTGAATTTGGCTATGTCCCCTTTGCTATTGCTACTTTAACAGCATAATGGTCAAACTATTTTACCAGGTCTATTTAAGACAAAATACACAAAAGTCAGATGCTAACTACTTTGACCCCCCCCCCCACCTGATTACTTGTTCACCTGGCCTGAAAACATCCTGTTAATTCAATGGAAGTCTGCTGGCAGGTATTGAGCAGCATTCCAAACACCCCCATTCCACCCCCATATCACTTTTATTTAATGCGTCCCTTGTACAAACAGCCCAAAAGAAATTCTGCTGATGCAGCAAATATCTCCACCTCAAACTTTTTAAACATTATAACCAGCTGCTAAAAATACATATACTTACTGCTAGAAACATCATGCAATACATGGAGAATGACGAATGTCCAGAGTAAAATGACAGTCTGAAAAATAAGAATAAATGCAAGTAAGTGAGTATGAATTAGTTATTTTTTAGCATACAAGAATCTGTCCCTTTAAAAAAAGGAAAAGAAAATGCAGAGTAAACTTTTTTTTTTCCAATTTGAGATGCAAAATCTGAATTTGGCAAAATACACTGAATAACTTTGAACAAGTTAGTATTTCTCATATGTTCCTTACTGGAAAATTGTGGACGCTGAGTCCTTGAAAGAGAAGTCAGGAATATAAACAGATCCAAACAGAAGCATGGAGACCAATGTCAATGTTTTTGTAGTTTACATACAATTTGTAATTTGTGTTCAAAATGAGTTTTTAGCCTGAGTTATGTTCACTTGAATTAATAAAATAAAATGTTCATTTATATATTGATCAATGCTTTAGAATTTTAACGTTTATCTATTTGATTCCAAACTGCCTTTTGCCCAAAAGATTCTGAGAGTACTTAATCCACAATATAAATGATGCAGCATTATTAAAACATAACTGTGAACAGCTTGGAGATCTAGGATTGCCCAGTTTTGGATTCTATGGTGTGGGATGGTCAGCTGACTATTGGAGTTCTCACAAGTTTTGATTCCTAGCCTGGATGCAAGGGGTGATCATAACCTCGCAAAACTAGACATATTATCTCCATATATGGATGGAAAGGATGAGAGTGAGAGAAGAGCAAACACTGTGCCTAAACACATTCATGCCAAGGATTTCAGACTATTACAATTAGTCTTCTATTCCTGGATGCAGCGTTGCCAAAAGACACAGCCAATATAGCCTGACCTTTCAACATCAGAATGCACCATAGTATATTAGCTATACTTTCATGTTTCCAGACACATATTACCGTCAAGATCATGTCTCTCCTAGAGAACTTCAGAGAAAGTTATTAATGGTACTCAAATTCCAGCTGGAAATACCTGTCCTTTAGAGCTTATCAGTTCCCCAGCTGCATTTGTTTTTCTTCTCTCAGTCACTGCCTGCCCATAATTTTAATATTTTAAACAGAGACACAATAGAGATGCTGCTAAATGTTCCTCCACAACTCTTTCTTCCAAAGGCTGCCTCAGAGCAGAACGTTTTGTCCCTCCTGCCAGCCATTTATTTTCCAAACCCTTGCAGCATTTCTGTGGACAACGTCCTTCAGTCTTTGTCCCTCCAGCCCTAGTTGGTAAGTAAAGCAAACCACAATGAGAAAGTACCCTCTCTGGAAACTGTAACCCGTATGTAGTTATACTTCATCTTCCTCTCTCGTCATATTGTTAAATTATTTAAATCATCCCAATAGCAGATCATACATCAGGTCTCAAGAGCTTTCAGGAAGTTATGGTTTCTTAACAACTGCCCTTGTGTACTTTTCTCCTGGAAAGGTTTATTTCAGCAAGTCAGATAATACAAACCTAGAATATACATTTTATTTTGATTTCTCACTCTGGCCATTAAGACTAATGTTGACACTTCTTTTTAAAATAAGCTATTTAAAAATAAGAAGGAGCTACTAAACTAAAGACATATGGCACCAGAGCTCTTTCTAGGTTCATCAAGAAAGAAACAATCTAGAAGAGATGGGATTTTTTCTATCACAAAACATACACGGCATACATCTCACGGAAAAACACTACAGGTAGTCCTCCATTTACAACATCATTTGATTATTGTTTTTTATAATTTTCAGAGTTAACACCTGCTTGAGCAAGTCACAATTCTAGAAAACATCAAACTGCCCAGCATATTCAGTGTATAAAACATTAGAACAAACCATATTGCCCAACCTCACCATCACCAAAACCGGCATTTCAAGATATGACATGATAAGAGGAGGGCATGTTTTCAATCTTGTCATTGTCACAGCTGCATTCTTGAAGCCATCTTTTGAATCCACCTTATACTCCCTCATCATTCGCTACAGGTCCAAGAAAAGTAAATATAGCAGATGGTATTTTGCAACAATAGAGTATTTCATAAAGACAGAAAAACATTCATTGCATCAATGAAGTTACACTGACGGTTAAAACTTAGCATTCTAGAATTCAACCACAATATTTTAGAACAGTTTGCTTTCAGCATCTACTCTTCTTGCAGATGTCCAAGAGGATTTCCTATTTCCTGACAGCATAGAACAAAGTACTGCTAGTAAAATAATTTTTTAGCAAACACTTGCACCCATTACTTCCCTTGAATTACAAATTTTCCTCAATTGCACCAAGAAGCTTTTTGGAGATGACTGCCAGGGGACTGATGAATTGCAAAAAAGAATTATTCTCAATAATTTTCTGAATCTGCTAATTATGATCATATCCCCCACCCCCAACAGTAAGAATAACTCATTTCACCCAAAAGATTTATAATTGAGAGTATGCTTTGCATGCACTTTAACAGAGATGCCATCAAAAGCTACACTTGAAATGGAAGCTTCACAATCATTATACTGTTTCATTGTTCATTGGTGTTCATTTTGATCTTTAACTTTTAGGAGAGAGGTGTACATTGAAACTAGTCTGTAAAGAGTCATGATGGCAAAAGGTTTAGGAGCCAAAAGATGTTAATGATCTCTCCAAGCCCCTTTCAGATTTGGATTTGCATTTCAGAATTGGAGGCGGTAGGAAGGGAGAAAGAAGGCAGCAGTTATCTTGTCTTTTAAAAGCCTCTTCAAGGGTTGGGCAGCCTGAATAACCAGCTGCATTTTTCCTGCTATAAGCAACAACGTTTTAAAAACTGGGTTCCATTTATGCCATTCCCACCTGCTTCAGGAAGGCTGAAGCAAATCATTGCTTCTGCAGGAAACATTTGTTATGCACAAAGCCTTTTTAAGTTGCAGGCCAGTCCTTTATTAAACTGAAACTTCTGCAAAGTATTAGCAACTACACACCCATTTGTCTTCTTTGTCAAAACCAACACACACACACGTATCCAGCTAAAGCACTGACAGAGCTATCTCTGGAGATGTTTTTTGACACATGCTTCTGTTAAAGGTCATGCAATGGATAAGTACTGTAAACTCCATTTTTATGCCTGATTGCCAAGTGTCATCTCAGTTATGCCAAATGCACAGAAGTCAAATCGATTAATCAACCCTTGCTATGGAGAGTTTTTGGCTCTTGCTTACGTAGCTGAGAATATGAGGGCCTGCTTTCTGTTCAACCCTGAAAAGACAATTTTAAAATTTCTGAATATCTAATTTCAGGGTTTTAGACAAGTGAAACTCAACCTGTTCCCTGGGATTTGAAATGGTTTCCAAAATATAAAGAGTAAGAAAGAAAACCTCAGTAAGAAAGCCCTTTACACAGTTTGTTTGATGAGAAAGACAGAATCTGCTTTGATTATAGGCAATGAAACTATCTTACATTATCTATGCAAACTCCACCTGTGGTATATCAGTATGTAAGATTACAAAATTCCCATGCGCACAATACATCCATAAATCAGATCTGTAAAATGTGACAGAAGCTATTTCACAAGTTCAAAAAGTAGTTGGGTCCCTCATATATGAAAGAGCTTCTACAAGTTCTGAAATCCAAGTTAATATAGACCAAGAATTTCCATAGTATCTTGCATGGTCAATTATAACCATGTATGAGCAGGAAAATTGGTTTCAGTCATGACTAAAAGCTCAACCACTTACAATCTGCGAAGTCAAGATGGTGTCTTGTATCAAATAAACTGTAAAGAGATACTTCTACTTTACTTATCAGGCTGTTCAACACATTTAATTCTAATATATGCATAGCTCTAGTACTGAATGTATTTCTTAAGGGCGTATGGAACGAGTGACTGTCATCCACAGTTATACATTCATCTCCTTTGGAATTTAATAGTTAAAGCTGGTCATTTATCTCAAGAACTACAAGTTTCACCTAGTACTCTTCATAGATTAAGGGTTAAGCTATATAACCAAGATGTACTACCACAAATACAGAACCATTAATCTTTCCTCAAGGGCAAAACACCTGATGTCATCTACCAAACTCCACCTCAAATCAGGGCTGAGGAAACGGTTGAGTCCCAGAAAAGAGTTTAAGCTGCTTTTATTTCTAACCATCTTACACATATAAAGATCCAACACTGTAGGGCAAGGGTGTCAAACTTGCATTGCCATGGCGTCATCACATGATATATTGGGGCTTTTTCCCCCTTCACTAAAATGGGAGGAAACGGGGACAGTACATGACGCATCTGGCCTGTGGGCCACCCCGTTTGACACCCCTGGTATAGGGCTTCATTTGGGAAATCATTAACACACGGATGTCAATTTTTAGGTAGGACGTGCATTGGAAGTTGACATCATGGCCACTTTACTTTGTTCCTAGCAAGCATTTACAGAAGCATCCTTGGAAATAAAAATTATACTTGAAGCTGATACTTTACAATACACAAGATTCCTATTTTTTTCCTTAATTAAAAGAATCTAAAACAAACAAAATAAAATGGAGGGTGGAATTTTGCAGACCAGAAGAGAATGACTACTGAGGTTTGGAGGCAAAATGTTACTACTTTGTTTTTTAAATGTCTTTATTTCATTAATTAGACTATCATTTTAGGTAAATTAAAATATTTTTAAGCTACTAAACCATGCACTATTAAAAGAAGGAGCTCGATACTAGTGTTATTTAAAATAAGGAGTTGTTCCCTTTAATTATACCTTCGATACATTTGGGGAAAAAAGTCAAGGTGGGTTTAAAAACGTTTTCAGAAAGGTGGATTTAAATGTTACTTTAATATCAATATTGACATATTCAAAGAAAGCCTCAGCTTTCAGTTTAAAGAAAATTAAAAATATGAATACAAATAAGGATACGGTTATACTGAAAAGCATGACTAATCTTCATAAATATCCTCTACGTAAGATTTATTTATTTATTTCTGCTTATATGACTGCCCATTTCAACATAAAAAAATAAAGTGGGAAAATTTTGAGTACTTTCTTTATATATGTAGTTGTTAAATGCATGTTTGTACAAATAGGCAATTATTCTAGAAACTATTTATTCTGCCT